ACTACAACGGAGACTACAGGTAGGGTTTGGGGCTTAGGGTACCTGGAATCATATTAGGGGTTATACTCAACTTTACGGTATATGCCTTAATTCGGGACATTGGAAGATCAGGCTACAGTAGTTTGCGATGAGCTGTGCCGGCAACTCGATTTTTGAGAAGGCCTGCTTGGAGGACAGGGAGACGTGGCAGGGGTTAGAGGGTTTACCTAGATCCTGAAAAACCTACCGTTATCAGGACTTATGTAAGGAGATGATACAAAATAGGACCCTAACAAGGTAGGTTTTATAGGGTTCAGGTGGGGTTTAGGGAGGCGTAGTTTTCAAGGGCTGCCAGAACGGTAGCAATACACAAGGCCGGTTTGCAACCTCGCTTACATCCACCCAATCCACCATGCAGGTTATCATGTTGCTCGGCGTACGTCCTAAACCCTAAAGCGCCAAAGTGTAAACGTCTGAGCCCAGCAAAGAAGCAAAAACCACAAACAGGCCTTCCCTAAGGGTCCATGTACCCAAATAGTATATAATTTGGCCTTAATGTAGGCCTTATATAGGTACTTTAGGGCCAATGTACATGCTATTTGGGTACATGGACCCTTAGGGTCATGATGGCAAGAGGCGTCTGGGGTCTGAGGGGCTACTGGTAGCATCTGGCGTGCTATGCTAAAGCCTAGGACGGGTTTAGGGTTTAGGGTTTTGGGTTTAGGGTCCCTGAGGTGTGTGGGCTGCCCTGAACCGACCAGGCGGTTCCTTCCACACGGGCTCCACGGTGTTGTCGATGGTCTTCGTCCGAAACTCCGTCTTGCCAGCTCCAATCACCTGCAACAAGAACTCTCTCTGTGTGTGTTTGTTGGTGGACACGTCGAACGTGTGTTTGTGTGAACGACCTACGTACTATCCAACAAACAAGCAGAACCCGAACACGCGCACACGCACACACTCCCTCCCTCTCTCTCTGATTTCTCTGTCTCTCGCTCTCTCCATACATAGATACATGCGTGCATACAAAGCATACATACATATGTACATATATACGCAAAGACATACATGCATACATCCATACATACATAACTTCGCACGTATGTGGGAAGCGTACATACGTGTGTACATAACTGCATCATTCCATCCGTTCATCCCTCCATTCATCAGCCCGTCCATCCATGCGTACAGACATGCATTCATACATCCTTGCATATATATATATATACATATGTATACATACATATAGTAGCATACAGCCACCTGCACACCAATTTATGCAAACAAAAAACAAAAATAGGTGCACGTACTATCGTGTGTAGTTGCGTAGATACCACACATACACACATACACACATACACACTTCTGCAGTACGGTACAGTACGGTAGGGTACCGTGCAGTACAGTACAGTACAAATTTAGTACAGTATGTATGCATGAAAGCATGCAAGTACGTACGTATGCACGTATGTATGT